AATATGGGTATCTATTGATGAGGCTACGGACTCTGTACGTCGTAATGTTGAAAATGTAATATTGGGCACATTACAACCACAAAATCCAAGTAATATGTTCGTTATTCATACAGAATACTAGGAGAAAGTGAATCATAGTACAATATTCCAACTATTCGATAAAGCTATGCATATTTTGTGGGGAAATGGTGTAAAACATAACGATGTTTTGCTATTTGTCTCAGATGCGGCGCCTTATATGAAAGAAGCTGGTGATTGTATAAAAGCGCTTTACCCAAAACTCATACATATGACTTTCTTGGCACATACATTACACAATGCTTGCGAAGAAGTACATGCACACTACCAATATTTAGATCAGTTGATTGGAGGAATGAAAAAACAGACAATAGAGTCAGTTTCACTTCTGAAAATCTTGCCAAATACATAGTAGTAAATTCTTTTTTTAATTTAAATTAATTTTTCAATTTTTTTTATTCAGTTTTATAAATTTATAACTAATCCATGTTAATTTTTACTCATGCTTTTTTTTGCTTTTTTAAAAAATAAATATGCTTCATTTTTGCTTTTTTAAAACAATGTTGTGCTTTTTTTCTTATTTATTATGCTTTAAAATCCGAGCCCTACTTATTAGATTTAATAGTTAGCACAATTACGTATTTATTCATAGGATTGTTTCATAAATATATTTTTAGTATTGTGTAAATAATTAATTTATATAATATCTAGTTATTTTATATCTATATATTATCTGTGTTGTTCACAGTATGTCTAAGCTCGATACTATTTGATAAATCATATACAGTGTGTTTTCTTGAACGATCGTTTTATATCGATATTATGTATCGTTACACTCAAGTTTGTTTCTCAACAGTGGCGTTCTCAGGGTTTTAGAAGTGTGGGTCTGCCTTACTTACGAGAAGATAGTTTGCAGAAACATCAACAAACTATAGGTATTATAATAAAGTCGCACAATGCGCCTGTGATTTAACTTATTAGTTATTTAAATCACATTTTGATACCAACATTCAATATAACAATATTACATGAGTCATAAAAAAATTTTAAGTATGATGTAAACTGTTCCTACAAGCTTTAGGTATTATTAATTAATTGGTTCTTATATTTGTCGCATTGAAATGTATACTCAACAAACAAATTTACCAGAAATATTTAAATAATTTTAAGAAGAGACTGTACATAGTAAATATATTATATTGTAATATATTTGCAATATATTTAATTTATTTTAGTTTACAATGACTGATTTCATTTTCATAATAGATATAAAAAGTGGTACTAAATTCTAATCCAATACAAAATTCAAAAATAATGCATTTATAAAATTTGTATTTTATAATAGATAAAAATAATAGTAAAGAACTAGAACATTTATTAGTGCTTTTTCATTACCTAGAGAATGTTTACTTATTACTTTATCAAAATCAATAGTTTGAGCTATGTTGCTTTCTATGCTCAATATGGATAAATTTGATAGCCGGTGTTCAGTCATAGTTGAGCGAAGGTATAAGGCGTATGTTTTGAGAAGTTTTAGACTTATAAAACTTCTTTCTGTTAACATTTTTGCCGGATTCATTTTCTTGAAAAACGTTATCACTATTATTAAACTGGTTGACGAGGCCCTATTTCAACAAGAGTTCTGATCACAGATATATAAAAATACATTTAATATAATGTTTATATATCTGTGGTTCTGATTAGGTACTTGAGATGTTAATATAGTATAGGCGGTAAGTAGTAGGCGGTAAGAAAAACTAAAAATAGAAAAGATTTTCAATAAACAACAGTATCAGTGTACCTATGTTTTGCTAAGTGCCGCATCACAGCTGCACTTACAGTACCTACGCAGCGCATTATAAGTTGATAAGTTCAAGCACTATTTCGTACGCTCTATTTTACTTCAATAGTCAGTCTTCACGTCTGTATATAGTACCTACATCGTAACAAACTTATATATATATATATATATATATATATAATTATATTTTATAGACACATTCTTTAGCCTGTGTACATTTTATAATTTATAAATTATTTTATTATTGATCATTGTTCATTATATTTTTAAATAAAAAAAATGATAATGTAGTTTTCCATTTCGAGGTGACACATTTAAATGGGAAAAGACTGTGGGTCAGCTGACTTCCCACACTCTCCCCCTCTTAGACCAGTCCCTGCTTCTCAAGAATGTTGAGTGCTTATGAAATATATACATACGCACATGTATACATGGGTAATACCTATTGTGTAAAAAAATAGTCTAAAAAGGCTTATGACCATGATAATGTCAAAATAAGCCAAAATAATGTATATATTTTCTAAAATATTTAAAAAAAATAAATAATCCCTATACCTACTTACGGGTAAAGTGTACGTGGCGCAAATGCCGTGTAATCGTGCTACTCATTTCGGGACGTTATCAGAAGAGGAGTTTGGTCTCCTTATTCTAGTACCTACTGAACAATATAGAAGAGACACTTGATCAGCTAATCAGGCCACTGTATCCCTAGGATATGAAAGTATTGGACTCTAAAAGTTAAAACCGTATCCGTAATCTGATAGAATTTTTACAACGTATATCCCTCTTTGTTAGGACATTATAAATAAAACACAATACATTGACCACGGACGACGGCCATTTTAATTTTTTCAAAGTTTTTATGTATGGTATAGTTAATTTCAGGACTGTATAATATTATATTTTGTTATGGTAAAATATTGTTATTTTAAATTTTTGATTCTAAACGAAGTGAGGGATCTATTGGTTTTACAATGGTGTTTATTTATTTTTTTTTTATCCAGTATACAAAATTTCTACCAGAAGGAGTGCTTTGATTTCAATGTATAGTATTTTATCTTTTAGCAAATTAGATCAATATGGTATTTTAAAAAGGTAATTTTTCGATTTTGTCAAGAGTTATTTAAGGCCATGGAAAAAACCACCGACAAATTACAAAAATACGCTAAAAATGGGATTTTAATAATTTTTAATGTTTTGTTTATCACCATAGAAACGAATAAAAATAAAAATAAAAATTTTAGTTATTTTGTTGTAATTTATAATATTAATTCAACTTACAAACTATAATAAAATATAATAACAAAATAAAATATCCAGACTGACAAACCATCGAAGTTTCAGGTCAAAATACCACTACAACTGCACAACTTAAAAAGTTAGCGACCACTTCATAGAGACCAAATGAATGACTTACACATTTTAAGGCTTGCAAATACTTACTAATTAAAAGCTATAGTTTGGTGCTATTTTCAAAGTCTTAGGTTAACTTGGGTTAATAAATTGTTAACCACGTAACATTGACAGCTCTTACTGGCCATCCGAGTTACTTACAATTTCTAAAAATGGACTGGCAAATACTTGCTAATCATTATCTTTCATTTGGTACCTATTTTGATGTTATGTTACAACTTATAAGCTTAAAAACTTAAAAACTTCTAAGCTCATAGCGGTCGTTTGGGTAATTTAAAACTTTAAATACAGACTTACAAATGTTTACTAATCATAAGATTACGTTTGGTTTTGATTTCGAAGTTCTGGGTAAAAATAGGTGGGCTACGTAAAGTTGGCCCAAATTTTGATTTTTTCGATTATGGTGAAAGTTTGAACTTGCAAATTCTAAAAACGGTTTTGAAAATAATTTCACAGTTTTTAAAACAATTGTAGTACCTAGGTGGACCAACTTCACGAACGTATTTGTACTCTTCTTTTAAAAGGTTGTTAATTATCAATCATTATAATTTATCATATCAATATTTACCTCTTATAACCTTAAAAAATTATCACTTTATTCTCTTGTGATAAGTCTTTATGTCCTTTACATTTTTATATGATCTATGGCTGACATACCTGTTTATTTTGGCATGCTTATATCATTGTATCAACAAGACTCAACAAACGACGTGGCCGTTGGTACCTACTGTAGTGATCCCTCACTAACGCTTATTTTTGAGTTCGACGACGTTGATATGTTGTATAGGATAGGTGACAAGTTACAACGTTATAATTTATAAGTAATTTATTTAAATGTTAATAATAATAATAATAGTTTTACATTTGAATTAGAAATTTGAGGACAGAGCGATAAGCACCTGCCCGAGAGATTGGTCGTTAATACTATGTACTTACAAGTGTGTACGTCGTACTAGCACTGAGCTAATTCTAATTTAGATATGAACGGAGACTCGTATAAATACAAAGTCTCCCTTAGCTATTAGGTACACGGTAGAGACTAGGAGGTGGATCAAAGAAATACCGGCGGTTTCGAAGAGTACCGAAGCAGGTGTTAAAGTTGTCAAATAATCCTTGAGTTTAAAACTAGTTTATTCGGCAATAAGTATATTAGAAATTGTTATGCGATTATCAGCATTACTGCAAGTGGCAAAACAACAGGGCGTGGCACGTGGTTTGACACTAATGTAATGCAATATTGTGTATTATAGTGTAAACAAATAGTAAGACGGTCGGCGGTTTACTACACTACCTATTTAGTATCTATTAGGGCCACTTGTATTTTTGATGTTCCCCTTTCATTCCAAGATATTTTTACAACAGAAATCTTCCGCAGGTTTAACATCGTTTAGAATTTATATCTACTTATCAGTCCCAACGAAATTCATATCGTGTGCCATCAATCGTCCATCAGATCTAGAAAATATGAAAATTACTTTCATTTAACGCACTACATAATAAGCGCATAACTGCCTCGAAAGCGTTATATATTATTTTACTTCTAAAATACTAGTTAGTAGTTATTAGAGTTAATATTTAATCTTAATGTTTCGAACGTGTTATAATATAAATATGTAGAGCATAATCTAGTAGGAATTAGTCAACGTAACAAGTTAATAAGACTTATTGTTTATTCAATATAATATCAGTTAATATTTATTTTGTTTGTAGGTACTTTTATTTAAATATTACATTATGAGTTATAAAGTTTTTTTTTTTTTATAGAAAAATGTCCGATTTTGCATTAAATCGTTTGAAAGTTGAACGTAGTGAATGGAGGAAAAATCATCCATATGTGAGTAATTATACATTAAAAAAAACTTAATTTAACTGATAAAAAATATAAAAATTTGTCTGATAAAATAAAGCTACACATTATAATGTAACTAATAATTAAAACTGTTTTATCAATTAAGGGTTTTGTTGCTAAACCATTGAAAAATCTAGATGATTCATGGAACTACAAGGTTTGGGTATGTCGTATACCTGGGATGTGTAATGTAAGTATAGTAATATAATATTTTATATTATTACTTATACAATTTTAAGAAAAAATCTCCACTGCACCAAAATCATATAATCTAGGTAAAATATTTTTTTTTTTTTTATGTCAATTGACCATCAACAATTATATCTATATTAACATTTAGAACGAATAAATCAAATTGATCTTTTTACAAATAATTCTGGTATATACTTTGGATAAGGCAAAGAAATGTCTGGCATTAACTATAGATTTATACCAATGCATATTTAATAAATTAGTTTATTCAATTAAAAATGTTTACCTCATTAAACGACCAAAAAGCAAAACAATGATTTCTTAAATTAAAAGATAGTAAACTGCAAATTATAAATTACTTCTAATGAAAGAGATTAGTAAAAGTTAAAACATAAATTTGTCAAATTAGAATTGTTTTTCGATACCCCATCTCTCAAATAGTACAAATTAAAAAAAAAATATTTTATTTGTATTTATTTTTCCAAATATTATTTCATTAAAAATGTATTATATATTAATATAAAAAAAAATATGTTTATTTAAGTTATTTGTATTTAAAAATCGTACCATATTTTCAGTTTTTAAAAAAATATATAAAATTCAAAAATACAGATATCAAAAATCTGTTTCAAGCATTTTTTATACAAATTCCCTTTTTATTTTTTTTCATTGAATTTAAGCCCGGAAACTTTGGCCATTAGCTGTTTTTGTTGTTTTATAGTGGTGGAGGGGAACGGTTGGTTGAAACACGTTTTTATAGTTTTGCTGAATTTCAAGTTAGGCACCGGTAGGCGAGGCTGGGCATTAAAGTTAATTTAATTTTGTTTTGTATTTAATTATAATTCACTATTTCAGTCTATTTTGTTTTCATGTCAAAAAATATTTACCGTGATATCATTCCAATCTAACTTATATGAAAAAACTCTATAAAGTATAAACACTATAGACTATAATTTAGTTTTGGGTTGGAAAAAAATTTAGTACGCCAGCGTTGTATAAACAAATTAACTTTTTTTAAACTTAATAAAAAGTTAACAAAAAGTGTGTATTAACTTTTAACTTAATTGAGTTAACATGTACTTAAATTAACTTTTAACTTTTAACTTTTTTTTATTGGTGCATATTAACTTAACTTAACTGAGTTAAAAAGAAATCATTAACTTGCCCAGCCTCGCCCGTAGGTTTTTGCCATGCAGTGGATGGGGTCGGACCGTTCAATGATGAGTCCCCTATTCTCGTGTTTATTTTGATACCAAAATGATGTTTCTACGATTGTAACTCAAAACAATTTGCAAATTTTCGTTATTTTTACGTATATTGTATTACTTATATTTCATTTTTAAGTATATTTTAAAGATTTGAACTTAAATTCTCATAAAAAAAATTGTGACTATGGATTTTTAATATTTTTTTCAAACAACGTTCTAGCAATATATATATATGGAGCTTTGTATTAAATTTTCAAACTTTTTGACTATACAAATAAAATTGTATTGACATTCATAAAAAAAAAATTAAAACAACTTGAAATTTAAAATTTCCGTTAGCAAATCAAAACAAATCAAAAGCACAACCAGTGAAAATTGCATATATATACGTTCATTTGTTTTAGAGTTACCTACACCACAAACCAAAATAAGTTTTGTCGAAAACTTTTTTACTATCAATTTTAATTTTACCTATATTAAATGACAACAATTCATAAGGAATAAATATGACCATTTAAATAAATTTGAATTTTGAATCCTTATTATAATATTTTAAATATTAACTTGAATTGGAATACAACCACCTGCAGTGGTGTAGCCAGGGGGGCTAAGGGTAGATATGTTCAGATACAAAAATAAAAGATAAACTTTTGAATTCAATATTATAACCACATACTAAAATCCGGTATGTTTTCCTCCCTACACAATGAAGTTAATGGAATAACATATTGACTGCCATTAATAACCATATCGTATCTACTTTATATTTTTTAAAATATTTATTGTTTTCCAAGCTTCTTCATATGTTAGATTTTTTGTGGTCCATTCCTTGTCGAGTGTTTACACTTTAAAAATGCCTATAGTCAATACTCAAATTAAAGATTTGTTCTACTTACATAATATTAAAAAAATTTTAGAAACCTCTCCTGTAAACATATTAATAGCAGCAGGCAATGCATCTAATATTGATTTTTTTAATTTTGTTAATGTTAATGTACTCAAATCGTATTTAAAATCAAAAAGATAATAATTCAAAACTTATATAATTTATAATTTAGTTTTTTTTAAATTTGTTGTAGCATATGTTAATTATTAATTATTAATTATTATATTATAATGTAATTACAAATATTTTTCGTAAATGGAGTTGATTTCCGTAATGAAGATTATTATTATTATTATTATTATTATTATATTATATTATTTTCCATTTATGAGATGTAATTTTTGACACGTTTTAGTTCCCGCGATCAAGATGTTATTACCCCTATTGTGTATATATATTTTAGTTACGGAATTTAAGTGTCCACTTTTGAGGTGTCCGTTAATAAAAAATGAAAATAAATGTATGTTTAAATAAATATAAATACATTTAAAATTATTTTTATATTATTGTTTCTTATTAGAGTCTTTGGGGAAATGGCTGGTACTATTTGTACATGACATTCTCGGATGATTATCCATTTCGTCCACCAGTTTGCCGATTTTTTCCCAAGATTTTCCATCCTAATGTGTGCAGGCATTGTGGTAAATATAATATTACCTACCGAATATAATTTTAAATTTTAATAAATTTTAATGTTGGTTGTTCATGATTAACTAGGAACTGTGCGCGCAACTTTGTTGAATAGTCATTGGAACCCAAGCACCAGCATCCGGGATATTCTACTTGTAATACAATCGCTATTATATGTGCCAGACCCCTTGAATATTGCTAATGATATAGCATATTTTCTCTACTGGTAATAACATTGTAATATAAAATAGACAGTTAAGCTTTTAAAATATTTATTATGAAGTATTAGACTCACTTAAATAATAAAGGAGAAGTCACAAAGTCACACCCACATGTGTTTTATCCATCTTATTAACGTAAAACATAACTTATATAACAACTATATTTGTTAAAAACGGTAAAATACACAAACTGTAAATATGAGAATTAATAAAATACCATTATTAAACTTGAAGTTAAGTATTTTTGAGTGTTTTTATGTCTTAAATGCATAATATATTATTGTACAAATATCATTATTAATCATGTATACATACATTTCGATATTCCTATACCTATTTCCTCTTAATTATTTCCAACCCACCTTAGTTATTTCTTTCCTAACTATCAAGCTTACTTCCCAAATTTACTCTCAAAGAATCATATTTTTGTTTTGAAAAATTAAATTATAATGAATTTAATAATTATTTTGACTCTATTAATTGGCAGTTTATTTTTTTCGGTAATGATATAATTGATAACAAAAAAAAATTTTATGATATTATTTATGAAGCCATTAATATTCACATTTATACTTACACTTACTTATCCTCTAAATACATAAAATTTAGTTCAGCCAAAAGATTTCTTTCTGCTAATAATAACCAACCTAAAACCTTATTTGCAACTAGACAGCAGGACTTAGGTGTCTGTGCAAAATTTACCTACTTCAAATGACCATTGTCCTTTTTTTAATTTTTAATTTAGATTTTTTTTTTTTTAGTGTACGAGATCAGAATGACTATCAGAGACTTGTCCAATGCCAAGGCACGAGAATGTCTTAATAGGTATAGGTTAGAATAAGTAAAGTTGACAGAGAGAAGGTGATGAATTTATTTGATTGCCCTATAAAATTGTACCGATTATCGATAAGTATTACACTTCTGTTAATCAGTAAGAAATAATATCCATTGTATTATATTAAAAATTAAACATTAAACTTGGTTCTCTCTTTTTGTAAAATAAAATAATTTACTACTTTTTAATTATCATTATAATTTGTGTATTATTATTTATAGTTACTACTTTTGTATTGTGTTAGTAAATATGTTGACTAATGATTGGGACTTACATTGACACACGACAGATCTGAATTGTTAATTATTGTGGGAAATAGATAATGCAAAATATATCTAGATAAATAATTAAAAGAGGTAAGTAAGTAACCACTTTGTTGTAAGTCTTTGAATATAGTATTATACTCGTATAGAATATTTATATTCGTTATTTTAGTAATTAATTTTACTATTAATAGTATAATATACAGTAATTATCTCATGTAAGCGGGTGTATGCTATAGATTACATGTGACAATGACAGGACAGAAGAAGGTGTGGTTGGAATTTATAATGCCAATTGTTGACTTATAATTGTATTTTCAACGTTTATTGTCAGTTCACCGATTAAACAGTCCTTGGGTTCGATTTCCGAATTAGTTAGTCCTAGCTATATTGATAGTGACTTTGTGAGTGTGTGCCCCTTGGTTGCAAATGTACTTGTAACTGGCCAATTCTATGATCGATGCAGGGTTTCACTTGCCGTGTAGTCTTGTGATAGTGCCAAGCTATATTATTTAGATCTGTTAAAGTGCTAACCCCTCGGACTTCCGACAGTATATGTTGTACTATTGCATTATAGTGGTCTATGATAAATGTTGCAAATATTAATAATAACTATTGCTTTACAGCGGTCTCATCGTAACACTAAGGTCATCCTGACTATACTATTATGTATGTAAGTAATGATATATTATATAATATATATAACCTTATATTATTCTTCAAATTCGAACTCGAATAAAAATTGAATCTTGAATATTTTTTGAATTTGTTTTTTCCATCTCTTTATTATGTCGAATTGTTTCTTGTTCAAATGCTTTTTTTGTGATAAGCATCACTAAAATAATTTGCAATTATGGTTGCACGTTCAACCGCCCCAACTGCAATAAATTAGAACACCAAATGTGTTCATGCCACCGTCACCGTCCTACTCACAATATAATTATACACTTAGTATATTCCGCCGACCAACCCACACACACATAAAATTCAATCCTAAATGAACTGAACACAATTTAGTTGAATTCATTTTTACTCAAACTACCTATATGTTATATGTATATTTTTTACTATAACTATGACTATGTATGTGCCCAATTGAACTGAGTATTCATTTTTTACTCAAAATAATTTGCTAAATTTTTGAGCTTTTGATAAATTTTATCAACATTTGGACTTTAAATGCTTATTGAACAAAAATTTGTGCCTATGTATATTAAATTATTCATTATCTATATAATATTATATGTGTGTACAATTATTATTATACCTTTCTATTGTTCAGAATTTTGATGCGCATATGATGTGCGATAATTTGGTGCAGGTAAACAGACGATGCGCAAATGATGTACGGCCAGTTATATTAACTCCTAACTCTGATGTCACATACTTATAACTTGGTTTAATTGTTTTTGTTGTTAAGTGAAACACTAATGGAGGGTTGATTTAAATATCCAGTGTTGAACATTAAACATTCTAAAGCAACAAATTGTAAATATTAAAATTAAGATACTTTGTTGTTTTGTTGTAATTTTTTAGTTTTAAGTTTAAATAGTATTGTGGTCAATGCAATATATTTGTCAAGTTGTTCTAAACTAAAATTTGATTTGAGTCAAGTCAAGATATAATTGTAAATTTTACCGCTAAATGTTATTGTGATAACACGCTATTGAGTTATTTTGACTACAAACGCACTCAAACATTATTATTATTAATTTTACAGTTGTGATTAAAATAGCATGACATAAAATAATATTCAAACACATCGTAAGCCATCACGAATCACGATACAATTACTGTTTACAAGTCGTGCCACTGGATATTGTTTTATTGTTGGGTTATGTTATTATGTTCTATTATTTCATTGTGATTTGTGGTTATGAAATTACGTCTGAGTTATGAAAATAATATGTGTGTACTCTGTATAAAGTATCAGTGCTTATAGCTTATTCGTTTAGTACAACATCCATAGATTAGTCTATTTATTCTACAACTAAAAAATTTAAAAAAATATGCTTATAACCGCAGTTGTAATTAAATATTTAGTGTTTCATGCCATAGATAATTGGTATATAGCTATATCTCTGTTTGTATAATTTTTTGTTTTAACTTGTAAATATATAATTAATAAAAATAATTTGTAATACTGTACATTTATTTGATTAACTATGTTATTAAATTATAACCGTGAATACAAAACTGTCGATATTAATTTATATAAAGGTAGGTACCTATAAGAGTTATCATTGTACAAGGAAATATGTCAATCTTTTATTAATGAACTCTTAAGTAGGTATACATAATATTATTATTTATCAAAATTAGTGGATAAACATACAAGTTTACTATAACTACAATTTGTTTCCAAGACATACAATTTAGAGAATTTGTCATATTTGCCGGGATGGGGATAATAATTTTTCACTCCTCCGAAAAATAAGTAGATATCAACTAGACAGGTAGACCGTGTACTTACTACTTAGTACTTAGTACTCTTTTTTTCTCTTTTTCTTTGTTACATGATAAATTATGATTGAAAATCCCTAATTTTATAATACTATAACGACTTGTTTAAATTGTGAATGTTATCATATGTATGTTGGCCCCGATAGGTAGTCTAATGGTATAACGCTCGTAGGAATTAGGTAGGGAAATTTTTCAGGTAGTTTAATCAGCTGGTGGTCGAAGGTTCGAAACTCATTGACGGAGAATAAACTTGGTCGTTTTTTTTTTTTTTTAAAGTATAACAATATTTTTAAGATTGCTTATTGTTAACTTTACTTATTTATTGTTAAATGAAACATTAAATATGGTTTGATTCAACCTTTAATAGGGTTTTCCTTTTAACTATTTTTAGTAGTAGAAACAAGTAATATTAATCTAACTGTTTGTAATTTGAAAGTCCTTGCAGCCTATCCATTGCAGCTCTTCGATCAGTTTTTTAGATTTGTTTTGAGGCAATTTTCACGAAAGTACTGAAACTTGCTCTATTGTTATCACCGTGAACTCGTTCCTAACTTCTACTACCAAGTGTTTTCTGGAGACTATAATGGTGGTTACCATTGTTTGCCACTTATCTATCAGCTTTTAGCAAGTGTGGGAGTGCCGATGAGTGTATCGCAATAACAGTGGCGATAATCATACCTGCGTAAATATCGTTTCCCTGTTTCAGGGTCGGAAGGTTAGGAACTCGCACGAGAATGTTTAATAATTTAATGTAACACTGGTTTCGGTAATGACAAGGTTGCGTCGAGATAGTTTCATTGGTTATAAACATGAACGTACCCTCTCGCATATTTCTTTGATAGATGTAATACCTTGGGTCATATTATTCATATAAAAATACCAATTTAGGTGGTCTGTGATAACTTTTAAGTTGTAAGTAACACATTTTCCTTGTCTTAAATTACCAGATTGTAAAACTCGTAAATCTGAAAAGTCAGTGGTGTCGGAAAAGAAAAGTAGTTTAATTATATATTTTAAACGAAACACACAACAAATAAATTCTGGCTTGAAAATGTAAATAAATTCCATTTATATATAATATAGTAACCAGCACATTATTTTATAAAAAACAAATGTTATTTTGATCGCACATAAAATAACATAATAATATAGAATAGTCTAACAAACTGAACCCGAGTCAAACGATTTTGGTATTTAGGGGGAAAATCAGTACTTCCCTATCCAAAAAATAGGAGTGCTGAGGATTGCATGATATTCGATAAAATGAACGATTTCGTCGATGACCGGTGGACAAATACAAGTTAGAGACGATACCTATCCAACATATAATGCAACAAGTCCTTCACCAATAGTGAAAATTGTATATAGTGCACAGAGGGATGAACACGGTTGACAGACCGTACTTGTGTGACGTATGCGACAAGGCTTTCACCACAAATGGAACCCTTAGAAGACACCAGCGGACACATATGGGTGAGAGACCGTACCTGTGTAACGTATGTGACATGTCCTTCTCTAGTAAAGGATCTCTGAAAACACACCATCGGACGCATACTGGTGAGAGACCGTATCTGTGTGACATATGTGACAAGACTTTTGCCACAAACGGAACTCTGACAATTCACCAACGAACGCATACTGGCGAAAGACCGTATCCTTGTGACGTATGTTACAAGGCTTTCACCACAAACGGATCACTGAAAACACACCATCGGACTCATACTGGTGAGAGACCGTATCTGTGCGCCATATGTGACATGTCTTTTGCCACAAAAGGAACTCTCACAATTCACCAGCGGATACACACGGGTGAGAGACCATACCAGTGTGATGTATGTGACATGTCGTTTGCAAGTAGATCCAATCTGAAGTCACACCAGAGGACGCACATGGGTAACAGACCGTACTTATGTGATGTATGCAACAAGTCGTTCGTCCAAAGGGATGATCTGATTTATCACCATCGCACACACCCACACCAGCAGCCGCTTTTTTCCACGGACGCACCAATAAAGGACACAATGCTGTCCATTTGTATTGTCTTATGAGTAATAAATTTAAACTATACATGTAGTATCACAGTTAGAGATGATAATGTGGTATCACAAATATTCGCAGTCTTGGCAAAATTGTGATTACCATATTTTTCAATTGTCAGTTTTAAAATTATTGCCGGTTTTATTTTTTTCTATAGGGTTTTGTTGTGATAATTTTAAGCAATCGAAACATTCGTATAAGAAATGGTCTACATTTTTTTCTAC